AGACTTTGTTTCCATGTTTTTTCTTTTCTCATATTTTTTTCTTTTCCCTTCTTTCCTTTCTCCTTCCCTTCCCACTAAACTAGAGACATTTATAGCTAAGTGGATGCACATTGAGGCCATACTCTTAAGTGAAATAAATAGGACACACATATGTAAATACCGAATAGTTTCTCTGATGTGAAAAACTAAAAGTGTAAATAAGAATCAAAATGTGTAATTGATAATGTGAAATAGGAAGAAAATGTTTAAAGGACTCCATTCTTTTTAATGGGGAATTACTGCTAATTCCAGACAGGTAAATGACTCACATGCTACCACTGTAAACATTTGTTCTTTAGTGGGGAATATTTTTATATAGAAGATACTACATTATAAGAACATTTGTCAAACTCAATTTGGAAACTTGTTTGGGTGATTTGTGGAAGGTGTTCTCTTTAAACAATGTCTAAGAGTTGCTTAAGAGTGTCAAGTTCTTCATAGGGAGTTGAAAGCATAGCCAAAGTAACCCCAAAATCATTACTTTCAGTTAGTTCTATTGTCACACAAACTAAGGATGAAATTAACCAGAGGCTTCAGCCAGACAGTGAGTTTCTTCTGATAATGATAGCATTTGTGGGGGAATAAAAAAACAACTATGGCAAATTAGAAGCCAAGATTTGTCAAATTAATTGACAACTTGATTTGTGGATTCAAGAACAATTTCTAAAAGATGTTCTAGAAAAGACACTACCTTTAAGACAGAATTTCAAAAGCAAAGAATAATTAATTAATAATAATGACCATCATTTTCAATATTTAATAATATGTAATATGTAGAATCTGGACTTTTGGAAAGAAAGTGACATAGAGTAGAATGGATTCTGAAACTCATAAGTATTTGCTTTATCTTTCAGTTTATGAATGTTTTTACCAACAATCATTAAAATATAAAACTAAAATGTTTCTAAAAGATTAAGCGATTTCTCATTGTCACTTTTAAAAAGAAACATTTAGAATCCCAAATATAATTAAAATGATGATCATTTTATTATCTTTTCATCTTGTTCCTGCATTTATGCCCTTAGAAAAAGATAGAAGTAAAAATAAAATGAGCAAGGTATCCAAATTATTTATGCAGATTTAGTCATTCTCTTTGGACTGGAATATATGACAACATATTGATGGCCATTTTTTATAGGAAATTTATGTTAAGTGTGTAAGTGAAGCAGGGCAACATATAATTGGACATCAAGTCCAGAAGATAAATTTTTGATATGACAGCAGCCCATTTACTAAGGGCAAGAGCAGTCTCTACAAGGATGGGGTTAGTAAATGTAACTGAGGAATAAAGACAAGGAAACATGATAGAGGCAGAAAACTAAACAGTGGCCCTTTAAGTCTTTAACAGTGAATATGAGCAAAGATCCGTATGAGATCGTCTTTGTTATTATAGCCATACCCTAAATGACAAAACTCCCTAACATGGAAAACCTCAAAATGCTTGGAAGGTTTTATTGGATAATGCAAAACATACCAAGAAGCCTCTCTTTAATCTTAGTTGCTTCCCTATCAGAACTTCAAAAGATAATGACTCTGGGGCTTGAGAGATGTACGTTTAAAACACAAGGCATATTTGTAAATCCTTGTTGGATGCCCAAACAGTTATAATGAAAAAAATCACCTGCTGGCAGTAGAATTTCATTTATGGAAGGCTGAATAGCAAAGGTATTAATAAAAGATCAACTTACATTGATAAGTTCAACCTCCCAGATTTTTTTCAACAGGTCCATCGACGTGTAGCCATTAATTAGAAAGGCTTTGGTGTAATCACCCAGTTCAATAGAATCCAGCCACTCAGCTACTGAGGTGGGATGGTAGCCATCATGCCCAATGGGTCTCATCTGTAATTAAAAAAAATCATTACAAAAATCACATTAGAGTTGATTTAAACTGTTTATTTTTTTCAGTAACAGACTGCATCTTGTCACTCACAAATTTATCGGATAACAACATAAGATATTTCTGGATGGGAAATAAGGAAAAAGAAAATTCCTTATGCACAATTCTCAATCATTAATAGTTTTCACACTGAATTAGTTTTCAAAAATACACCCAGAAATTTCTAATTTAGCTGCTAAATTAACTCTGTAGTTGAGAGAATGAAATATGTCAAACTTCTGTTAGGGACATTATTGGTACTTTGTTGGATGGAGTTGAAAATTATGTCAGTTGAGTGGTATTTGATGCCAAAGGCACAAAGAACTGCATTTCCAAAATATAGATGATAATTCTCATATGCACGACATCAAAGCATGTGAAAATACTGCATGACTTAAGCATTCAAAACGAATTCATGCTTATGCAAGACATGTATTGTAGGTAGTGCAAACATGCTGGAGAAACATACTGCTATGGTAAGCCAGTTAAAAAGAGGCTTTTGAGTGTTTTAAGACCATGTGTTCTGCTTCGACTCTACAGTATGTTAGACATGAATAGAGAACCGCCTGGCAGACAGGCTCCTATTTTTTGTCAGCTATATACAGAGTTTTAAAAAATTCTTTAAGAGAACAAAGAAGTGTGACCATAACATGTTTCTAAGTTTAAAATGGAATGTGCAAATAATTTAAGCAAGAGGAACTTCTGGGTTTAAAATCTTATTCTAGTCCTTTAGCCTTTATTTGAAATTTTAGTTGAATTTAAGGTTCTTGGTTTTTGAAGTGACTCACTTCTAAAACTTATACTATTTTGCATGCCATTCCATAGGTCTAATGCAGGAGTTACAAGGACAGCTGCTATCTCATCAACTGATGTCAGCCTTCAGTGAAATGCTTGACAGACACAGTAACCCAGGTGAATACAACATAGATTTTCCTCCTCCTTCCAATGTAAGCAGATAAATATTAATGGAAATCTATATGATTCTGATTTGTGAGCAGAAAAAAGATTAGTCTGGGCATCAGGGATTCAGATTGTAATCTGAAATGTGGTAAGCTTTTTGTCACTATGCAGAGTTCTCATTTTTGAGACTCTACTTTTTCATTTCAAAGTTAGTTTTTCTCCTTTCCTCTTTCTGGTTATTTCACTCTCCAATCCAATTTCCATCTTGAGGTTAAAATGGCCTCTAGATTAAGGTTGCAGTGCAATGCATTATTTGTACTAGAGTCTGAACTGCATTAGACTTTTGTACTTCAGTTTTACCTGGGCTGAACCATTTTGACTGCTCATTAAATGTGTGTTCCTATGACAGTATTTATCATACAGCAGCTACAAATTTAAGTGACAATTCAGGGTTTGAAAAATGAAGTTTGGTGGCATTCTCAAATAACTGAATGTTGTGAATGTATGAAATTGGAGCCAGGATCCAAAGTCGAGGCTCAAAGGTACATAATATGAAATACCTTCCTAGTCTATGGAGAATTACAGAGATATCGGAGTCACATGCATTCTCCAGGACTTTCAAAGAAGTGGTTGAACAAATTTTACTAACCTAAACAATCATCCCAGCCCCAGGAAACACCTTAAGTGCTCCAATTGACATAAGAAAATAGGGAAAAAGAAAGGAGAGAGAGAGAGAGAGAGAGAGAGAGAGAGAGAGAGAGAGAGAGAGAAAACAAACACTAGAATTGAAATTAACAGCCTAGTAGGGAAGTCTTTCTGTTAGTCCACCCAAGTAGCAAAGTGAACCCAATTAAGTATAAAGATATTTTCCTTTTCCCAAATCCCTCCTTGTCCTAATACCAAAGAATTCAGAAAAGAGAGAAGGGCTAGTTCTTAGGAGAAGCCTAAACTTCGGGAGGTGGGAGTGAAGAAAATAAAAATGGAGGTTTAAAATTAATTAGAATTTAAAGTTAAATATTTTACACTTCCAAAAAGTTACTGACATGTCTGAGATCACATGGAGAAAAAGCAAAGAGAAAAAGCAAAGATCTTAGTTGAAGGCAGTGACTGGGAAAAAATTACATTAGTATTTTGCTGAATGCAGACTGCTCAGACTAACCTTAAAGAGGTTAGAAGAGGAAATTAATTGGTGGAAGGATGACAGCAGGGCAGGGTAGAGTTCAGAGGTGAAGAGATATTGGAAATGGGTATTTGGATGTATGCAAGGCAGAATTCATCCATCCACTCATTTGGTACATTTTTAAACATTGTTGGTTTTGATGAATGTTGTAGAAATAGCAGGGAACAAAATAGTCATAGTCTCTCTCATGGAAATTGTAAGTCTTAATTAAAAATATGTGAACAGATGACCAAAAATTATGAAGATTCTGCATACCTGAAGAGAGGAAACCATTTCAGCCAAATGAAGCTACAAAATTAACTTGACACATATTTAATGATATGCAGAATGGTTACTGTGCTGCACAATAATTTCTTCCAAAGCAATTCTCCCATCTGTTCCTTTATTTTTATTCCTACTGCCACTACCCTGGTTAGGTGCTTGTCAGCGCTTGCAAAAACTATCGCGATTGCCTTTGACTTGGTCTCCCACCTATGGTTCAGTTTCTGTCTCACTACTATGTTAGTCCTCCTAAAACCCAGGCTCTTATGTCAACCCTTGGCCAAAAGTCGAGAGTGGCCCCTTCTTGAGAAAAGTCCAAATGTCCAATCCAGCATTTAAGGCCAGTGGAGATAAACCTAACCTTTCACTACTCTGCTCTATGTTTCTTAATAAATGTGATTGCACATGTGTGTGTGTCTAAACACCACATGAAAGTACTGGCTATTCCCTGAGCATGATCTATGGAAAGGACAGTTGTATTTTTGCTAATATAATTTTGTATGCCTGTAATGCTTTTGCCCTTATTTCTGGAATTATTCTTCAAGGATTTCTTGAGTACTAAGATACAAATTTCTCGTAATAGGACATTTCATGTGGATGTACTATAGATATCATCCACTTGAGTAAAAAACAATTTATTTCATTCAGCCCCAAAACTAACTTTCCTCCAGTATTTTCATGTCAGACAATGAAGAACCATCTTCCCTCTTTCTGTTCACCATCATATCTAATGAGGACAACAAATCCTGTAACTTTAATTTTCAAGTTGTCTTTTAGCTCAATCCTCTTCTTGCAAAATGGGCAATCCCAGCAGTGGAATTTATTTGTTGGGTGGTTTTGGGGATGTTACATACCTTGTTGAACCTCAATTTCCTCTTTTATAAAATCAGCATAATAATATCTACCCCAAATATTGTTGTCAAGGTAATATGATATACAGCTCAGAGGAGAAGGCTTCCAGGCCACCGTACCACCATTTCCAGCACAGAGGAGGTGAGCCACCAGCAAATCCCCCCCCCCATCGAAATGAGAAGACATGTAAACAAAGCTCAAAACCAGACTTCCAGATCACCTACAGCAACCCTAAAGGGAAAAGAGATGGAACACTCTGATACTTAACCACCTGAACTCCCTGAACTGGCAAAAAAAGAGGATCTGGAAAAAATGAAATCAGAAATAATTTCTCATATAACAGCAGAGATTGTTCTCATAGTGAAAGGCATGATTAATAAATCTAGAGGGGAGCTCAGGAACATGATGGAATCCCAACATAGGAAACAAATGGAATCCATAAAACAGATGCAAACAGGTTTCCAGGAGATAAAACTCCATTGAAAGTCTACACAGCAGAATGAGCCTATGTGAGGACAGAACTTCAGATATAGAAGATAAGATTGCAATTAGTGACCAGGAAAAGAAAAATTGCTTTCAAATTATAAGGGACCATGAGAAATCAACCCAGCAGCTGCTAGACGACGCAAAGAAGAATAACATAAGAATGATTGGAGGCAATGAAAAAAGAGGAGAGGGTGCAGATGACATAAAAAAACTGTTCACAGAAGTAATGGCAAAAAACTTCCCAAATAGGGGAAAAGAACTTGACATACAGATAAGTGAGGCATACAGGACTCCAGCTAGCCTTCATCAAAAAAAAATCTACACATAGGCATACAATAGTTAGGATTCCAGAAA